ACATGAAGAAAGCAAAAAGTCATTGAGAAGACAAGAAAGAAGGAAAAGGTCAAAATGGATGTCAGAAGAGACACTGAAACTTGCTTTCCAGCATATAATAGAGGGTAGATAGGTGTTAACTTGGATGATGGGGAAGGAAATCTACAACAAGAACCAGGTTGGCAAAGGAAAGAAGACAGTAGCAGAAGACACAGGGAAGAGTGCCGAGTTTAAGTGAATAGAGGTAAGTGCTGTGAACTGATGGGCCCTGGAAAGGATTGCAACCATTGTAATAAAACAAAGTATATTATTTGTTGAATGTGGGACTGATGATCTGTTCATAAACCTTTACTCAATTCACACAAAAAAGTAAACCGAAACAAAAACAAACAATATCAAAAATGAAAAAGTTAACTCCTGGCTTGTTTTGCACTATTTTAACCTAAGAATCCCTCAAAAACATTTATAATAATCATTTGTTTGTGTTTAAATAAACACATAGAATAATCACAGTAAATGATGCCCAGTACACAGAGGGGATGGGTTGTGCTAGCTCAAGAGAAGCAGTGACTGTCAAGTCTGCTCCGAGTCGCGGCGACCCCATGTATGTCAGAGCTGTGCCCTCTAGGGTTTTCAGAAGCTAAGTTTCTGGAAGTTGATTGCAAGACCTTTCTTTTGAGGTGCCCCTGGGTAGACTTGAACCGCCAACCAGTGGGTGAGCAGATGAGAATGATTGCACCACCCTCCCTGGGACCCCATATTACCCCAATCTCTAAGCAGATAAATCTATTATTGTTGCTAAGCACTATCGAGTCGGTTCCGACTCAGGATGACTCTGTATAGCCAAGAGTGGCTGATGAGTTTGAACCACGACCTTGTGGTTCAAACCAAGCTCCTAGAGTGCCACCCCAGGACTCTACATGCACATAGACGTATGCTGGGGTCAATCACCACTTGGACATGTGACACTTTGTCAGATTGTTATACTCTATAGACCATCACACGCATGTCCTCAGCCACACAGCTCAGGCGGGCCCCTGGGAGGCGAGTCTGCAAGCACCACATCATCTTTTTCTTGTGGTCTTTTCTGCCATTTGGGACTGTTGCTGGTTGACAAGCTTCTGGAGCTCTTGGATGATCCTCTTAACATTTAATCCATTCCTAGATGCCACAAAAGTAGCTTCATTAAAAGGGAAAATGAGTACAAAGTTTCCTGCTTGGGACTTGGGCTCTCGGCAGCTGTTTTCTGGGAGCCCCCAGGAGCCGCTGTGTGACGGGGTGTGTGGCACATAAGGGATGAAGGACTCCCATGGCAGGTGTCTACTCCTCAACTTGGGTTTGATCTTAGGCTGCTCTCTTGTCGCTAGGGGCACGTCCTGCTTGTTCATCTTTTCTCTGAGCCGAGAGGCACGTGTGTCTTTAGGACATGTTCTTCCAACTTTCTCCAGAGCGAGTTCATTGCTAGTAAGTTCCCTACCTGTGATCTGTAAGAGTGGCCCATTAATCAGAGAATGGCACATGCTGCTGTCGCTTTGGACAAAGACATTAGGGTCCCCCTTAGAGATGTGGCCACTTCCTCTCCTCTTGTTTCTTGGGCCAGTTACATGAATCAAATCAATGATATCATGGATGAGTTTCCTCTTCACAGACACGTCGGTGGAGCAGTGCAAAGACAAGGCTGGGCTGTAGTTGACTTCCAAGAGCCATGGTTTAAAATTGTCATCAATGAGAACATCAAACCCGAAGAGCTCGAAGCAGTTGGCAGCAAAGGGGACCAACGGAGCAATGGCCAGCACGGTGAGGATGACCATACGGTTGATCTTCTGCCACAAGAGCATGTTGTCCACATCGTAGCTCCGGAGGTAGGAGAAGAACCTGCTGAGGGGCCACTTGCAACCGCGGCCAATCACATCTTTGAACTTCTCATAGGAGGGCCCCAGTTTGTTGATGCTGCTGTTGGTCAGGTGGGCATACTCATTTTGCAAATTGTGAAGGTCAAATTTCTCAGTGGCAAACCGTGCTAAGCCTTCTTGGTAAATATATATGGTCAGAGGTTGAAAGCCAGTAACACAGACATAAATTCGGAGATCACATTTGTACTTGCCCACCAAGAGAGGGTTGCAGATGTATTTCTGCACGATATACGTGTCATCAAAGATAAAGTCTTTGATGTCACTGAAGATGACGATGCCCCTCCCACGAGACAGTTCCGCTGGCTTGCAGATCCAGTAGCTGGATTTCCTGCCCAGCGTCTGCGTCTCTTTGGTGTATTGCACCACGAACTTGTGGTAGTCGTTGGGCATGATGAACGTCAGAGGGATGAACTCGTAAAGGGAAGCGCCGTAAGTCCCCTTCATGTGCTTTAGGAGTTTGGCTAGGTCATCCTTCCGGGTGAGTTTGGTGGTTCCTGGGTGGTGGTTCAGTAACTGCCAAGGTTTGAGGTTGGCATGCTTGACAATCGGGAAAGAGGACGCCCTCCAGTACAGGTCCCAGTCTTCGTCATCCTGCGTCTGCTCGTCAAACTTATTCCACCCACGCTCTAACAGGACATTCTGGACGATTTCAGGAGTGGTTTCATCCACGCGGAACACCAGCGGTTTCACCGCGGACCCTGAAGGTTCATCTTTTGTCCTGGAACGAGGTCTTCTTTTCTAAAAGGAGACATCAGGAGAGGGTTAGGGGAGAGTGCTACCAGATGCCACATTTTAGGTCCCATCGGTCTGGCCTGTACCCCCCCGTACTACCCATGTGCCCTTCTTTACAAATATGCCTGTCTCTGCCAGCCTGACAAAAATTAGTGCATCTCTCACGGTACACTTCTTTCTGCCTTCAGAGCTTACCTGCAGATGACATTCTATATAAACCTTAGAAATCTGCTGCCGCCACATCATCTTCAACTCAAGGCAGGTCCACGTGCCTCAGAATGGGACCAAGCTCCGTGTCACTACGGCTGTGATCTTTATGGAAGCAGATCACCAGGGATTGCTTCGGCATCACGGAGTAGCTTCAAACAGCCTACCTTTAGACTAGCAGCTGACCACAAACCATTTACACTATCCAGGGACTGATGACATTCTATTGTTGTTGTTGTTGTTGTTATATGCCGAGGAGTGGGTTCCGACTCACAGCAACCCTATACAGGGTTTCCGGGCCTGTAAATATTTACAGGAGCAGAAAGCCTCATCTTTCTCCCACGGAACAGCTGGAACAGTTTCTAACTGCTAACCCTGCGGTTCACAGCCCAATTCGTAAACACTATGCTACCAGAGCTATTAGTGACCTGTTAAAACATTTAATTGGCCCCATCAACATCTGGTCTATGCCAGCAAGTGAATCCTGTTGGCTTAAACATGAGCATTATCTAGACCCCAAAACAAGTATCGAGTTGTTTCAGGTTCAGCAGATCTGGAGATGTTAAAAGATGCTTAAAGTAATGAACAAGTGTCTTACTGGCCTGAGTGGTTTCAGTACACCTACGTCAGGACCCCCTGGAAGAGTTTAAGTAGACAACATCTGGTTCTCTTAAGTCAATGGGAATTTGTGAGAAAAATAGTGGAAAAGATGAACCTGAATTTTAAAACTAATCACTTGGCAAAAGCAACTATGGTGTGAAGACTGAACCTCACACTTTGAAAGAGAAATGGAACCTAAAAGGTTCAACATTCTTCTGAACTTTCAAAGAAAGACAAAAAGACATTTTTAAAGGAAAACATGACTGCTAATGACGCATGAAGCGTCCTTATCATGTAGGAAAAAGTCAAACACACCTAAGACTCTTGGGGAAAATGTATGTTTCTAAAGTCCTAAGATGAGGTGCTCACTAGGCATTCCAAGCTAAGGTGGCAATTTTTGTTTGTCTCTTTCACAGCATCCACATTCTTCAGGCCTACTCTATCACGTTGTTGTTGTTGAATGCCGTTGAGTTGGCTGTGATTCATAGTGACCCTGTATAGGGTTTTCAAGGAGGAGCTGGTGGGTTTAAGCTGCCAACCTTGGGGTTCGCAGTCAAGTGCAGATACTACGGCACCTCACCAGGAGTCCACAAGGCCACATAAGTAACTGACTTGGTAGAAATGACATGCTTGATGGACTCTGGCTGATACAGAAGGAAGACACTTTGGCTTATTCATTCTTCAGTGTGCAGTTGGGGATACTGTGACACATGCTGCATTGTTAGGAACAGCGGTATGGACCCACAGAGACAACAAGGAGAGACACAGACAGAGAAACAGAGAGACAGGGAGACAGAAAGAGATGCAGAAATAGAGAGAGAGAGAGAAACTCAGGAGAGACAGAGAGGAAAGCAACAGAGAAACAGGAGATAGAGAAAGAGAGACAGAGAGAGAGACGGACAGAGAAACAGAGAGAGAGACAGACACAGGAGAAACAGGGAGGAGAGGGACAGAGAAACAACAGATAGAGAAAGATGGAGAGTGAGACAGAGAGGAAAGACAGAGAGAGAGACAGGGGTACAGAGAGGTGCTCACCCACCTTTTTGTCCAGGTTTGAAGCTGGGAAGCGTCCGGGAGGGATTCCCACCGTTGCCTGTTGAGCAAAGGTGGCACTAGGCTGGCGGGTCCAGAGCCGGACACTGAAGAGCTATGAACAGAGCAGCATGGATGAGTGAGTGTGCATCCTTGCAGCGTTTCCGTTTTGACAAGAAGCATACGGATCCAGTATGTTTATTAAAGATATTGATCTTCTCAATGGTTTTCAACAGTGCTCAATTGTGTTCATGGTTGTCTCAAGCAGAATGTGTACGTGTGTGTGTGTGTGTCGAGTGGGAGTCCCAGAATGGAATACTCATGGAAACTAGATTAAAACAAAGATTAAAAAAGACAAATGCCATGCTTCCCAAACTGATTTGCTCATTTGTTGTCATTGTTAAGTGCCATCCAATTGGCTCCAACCCATAGGAAGCCTGCATAAGGCTTCCGAGGAGCGGCATGAGACCCTCTAGAAGCGAGTTTCCCCCTCCAACAACAAATGAGGGGAAAACATTGAGTCAACAAACCACATTGAGAGCAGACAGTTTTGGGCACTCCCATACTCCCCTTGCCTGGGGGACACGAGTGTCAAATAAGGGACTTGGAATAAGGCAGGGACAAGTCGGAATGGAGCAGATCTAAGGCCAGTGGGAGATGGAGCGTGGCAGTGATTGAGTAGAACAGTGCAGCCTGGTGTCCTCGGACCACAACGTCAGTTGTCCCAGGAGGGGTGAAGCAGGCAACCATGTGACATTGGGACCATCGGCAGGGACTGGCAAAGCCCGGTTCACTGCCTTGCTGTAGATACCACTTCGACCATGAGCTCATTTTCCTGCTACAATTTCACCATCATCATTAAGATTTCTTGGACTTCCGACAAGATAGAAGAGTAGGCATCCACACTACATAGACCCTCTACAACAAAGACCCGGGAAGCCAACAGAAGCAGACACAGAGGACATTCCTGGAAGGCCAACCTTCACAGGCACGACTTGAAGTGGGTTGAATACCTACAGGGAGGAGAGGCTGAACAAGGGTTGTGACAGAGAGAAACTGCAGTGGACAACCTGCAGGCTGGATGTGGTGCAGCCAACTTGAGTTTCTGTGAGCAGCTTTGGAGAAGCCAACAGGTGGTGGCCTGATGGCACAGGTTCAGAGGTGACAGGAGAGCGCGGATGACTTCTTACTCCTCACATTCCACTGGGAACCAGAGGTGAGGCTGGCCTCCACCCTCGTCTACCCCCAGCATAGACCCTGTTCTCCAGATCTCCAGACCCCACAAAGCCTCCAGGACAGAATGGGACTAGTGGAAGCTTTGTAACCAGCCACCCTGCCCCCAGACACCCTCTGGTTCTGACAGACCTGGAAATTATTAACCCAAAGGGCCTTCAAATTTCTGAATTGGGCCTGAGACAAAACGAGGCCTATAGGAGCTCCATCTAGGGCTGGGAACATAGCTGCCACATCCCTCCTCCCCCGACGCTGTGAGTTCCTTGACTCTTACCCCTCCTCCACCTGCAGAATGTTCTCTCTGGGTCCAGTGATTGCACTTGCCTTTGTGTTTCGTTTTCCTTTTGTTGTTTCGTTGTTTTTCTTCTCCTTCTTCCTGTCTTTCCTTCCCCATGATTTTTATCTTATCACTGCCTTTTTGTCTTCTTTTCCTCTGGTTTTCATTTCCACTCTCTTCTCCTTTTCTCCCTTGATTTGTCTTTATTCCTCTCTAGTTGAATTTTCTATTAATCCTCCTTGTCATTGCTTTTTTCTTTCTTCCCTTTTATTTTCTCTTGAACAGCTCTATTTTCCTTGTCCCTCTTTGCTTTTTTTTAGCTATTATATTATTTTTCTTCTTGTCACTGCTCACTTGTGTTTCTTTTTTTTTTTCTCTTTTATTATATTCTATTTTCACTGCTGTTTGTTTGCTTGTTTGTTCTGTTTTGTTTTCTTATGTCTATTTCCTCCTCTTTCCTCATCTGATGAGAGATAGCAACTGTATCCATACAGCTCACCCACAACCAATGGAGCTGTAGCGCTATGCACTGGACAAGAGCCAATGACAGCTCCTATACCTCCTGACAGATGCCAGACATCAACCTGACACCAGCCAAGCCCACTCTACACTGAGCTCATGAGCAGTGAACAGAAAACAGCACACACGTGTAATCATATCCACCAGGAGACAGTTGGTGAGAGCCTAAGAATACACCAACATATAATCATCGTTAAATACAAATACAATGACACCACAATGTATCAAAGACAGCAGAACATTTCAGCTCACACAAAGAAACAAGACAGAGTGGCTCAAACAAATACCTAAGATGCAGAGCCAGAAAATGTTTCTGAGGTACAAAAGGCAATGTATGCAAATGGATGATAGTGAGGTATGTTCAATAGATGGACACAAAACAAGAGGCAAGCAAGGAGAACACACACACAAAAGACTTTAGAAGAATTCAGGAAAACCCTACAAGAGTAAATAGACAAAGTAAATGCAAATTTTGAAACAATACAAAATCTGTAAATAGAAATTTAGATTAATACTTAGATCTCAGAAATGGGCAATACAATAAAAAGGCAAAGGAGTAGATTTTATTCAATGTAAAACCGAGTTAGTGAGCTTGAATAGTAATATCGAATCTCTCAATATTAGTAAGTTAGAAGAACAATCTGAAAAAAAAAAAAGAAAAGTTGAGAAAAGCTTGAAATTTACATGAGAGACCATGAAGAGGAAATGATTTACAGGTAACCGGGATTCCAGAACTGGAAGAGACAATTTAAAGACCAGGAAAATTTGTCAAGGAGATGTTGGAAGAAACTTCTTTAATACCATGAAAGATGAAAACAGAAGCATTGAAGAAGCTGAGCTGAATATGGCTTGACCCCAGAAGAAAATCACCAAGGCATACCATAATCAAGCTTTCCAATACCAAATACAAAGAAAAAGTCCTGAGAGCAATTTGGGGAAAACAAAAATTTGCCTACAAAGGAGAACCAATGAGACTAAGCTCTGCTCTCTCAGCAGAAATCATGCAGGTAAGAAGGCAATGGGATGACAAATAAAAAATTCTAAAAGAAAAAAAAAAAGTCAGCAAAGCTGTCTCTCAAATATGATGATGAAATTAGGACACTTTCAGACAAACAGAAATTAAAGGAATTTTTAATAACCATACCAAGTTTACAAAAAATTCTAAAGGGTGTTCTTTGGACTGAGAACCAGACAACAACAGACAACAACCTGGGATTAACATACATTTCAACACCACCCAGAACTCAACCCAGATACCCAAAGTATCCCTGCAATGCACCTCAGACTTCTTCCTTCAGGATCTTTGGCTCTTGATCATATGCTACCTCTTGAAATGGTTGAACATCGATCATTTCTTTTTAGTATAGTGACTCTGTACTCTATCTTCTTTTGATGCTTTCTGCATCATTCAATATTTTGTCCATAGAATCTTTCAATATTGCAGAGAACAAAGCACTTGGAATTGATGAAATACACTTTGACATCTTTCAACAAACTGATACAGCACTGGAGGCACTCACTCATCTATGCCAAGAAATTTGGAAGACAGCTATTTGGCCAACTGGAAGAGATTCATATTGTGACCATTCCAAAGAAAGGTGACCCAATGGAATGTGGAAATCATTGGACAATATCATTAATACCGCATGCAAGTAAAAGTTTGCTAAAGATAATACAAAAGTGGCTGCAACTATACATTGAGAGAGAACTTCCAGAGGTTCAAGCCAGATTCAGAAGAGGATGTGAAATGAGGGATATCATTGCTGAAATCAGAGGGATCTTGGCTGAAAGCCGAGAATATCAGAAAGAGGTTTACCTGTGCTTTATTGACTATGCAAAGGCTTTCGATTGTGTGACTCATGACAAGTTATGGATAACATTTCAGAGAATGAGTATTCTGTAACACTTAATTGTGTTCCTGAGGAACCTTTACATAGACCAAGAGGCAGTTGTTTGAACAGAACAAGAGAACACTGAATGGTTTAAAATTAGGAAAGGTGTGTGCCAGGGTTACATTCTTACACCATGCTTATTCAATCTGTATATTAAGCAAATAATCTGAAAAGCTGGATTATATGAAGAAAAACGTGGTATCAGGATTGGAGGAAGACTCATTAACAACATGCGATATGCAGATGATACAATCTTGCTTTCTGAATGTGAAGAGGATTTAAAATATGTACTGATGAAGATCAAAGAGCACACACAGCCTTAGGTATGAGTTGCACCTCAATGTAAAGAGAACAAAAATCCTCATCATTGGATCAATAAACAACATCCATATCAATGGAGAAAAGTTTGAAGTTGTCGAAGACTTCATTTTGCTCAGATCAGCCATTAACACTCATGGAAGCAGCATTCAAGAAATCAAATGAAGTGTTTCATTAAGTAAATCTTCTGTGCAAGATCTGCCTGAGGTGCTCATAACAACAGCTGAGTGGACAGAGGACAGGGGAGGTGGGCAGGACACTGAGCATGGTGAGGCCACAGCTCCGAAGAAATCCACAAAGGAATGTGGGTCACTGAGCTCTGTGAGGGCTGACATGATTTATAGTGTCTGCAATTAAAAAGCAAAAATCCACAAAAAACTTATACAGATCAGAGGAAAAGAGAAAAAAACTTTGGGGAACCATACATCTAAGAAGGGTCTAATACCCGCAGTATATAAAATTAACACGCTGTCTTCAAATTAACAACAAAAAGATAAGCAACGTAGCCAAAAAATGGGCAAAGGATCTCAACAGACATTCCAACCAAGAGGGTATTCAAACAACCACTAAACACACAAGACACTGCTCAATGTCATCCCTCACTGCCCGGTCAGTTCCGACTCATCGGGAGAGTTACCCAGGAGGGGCTGGTGGATTTGAACTGCCTATCTTGGGATTAGCAGTCCAGTGCTTACCTGATAGCACCACACCAGAACTCCAGCGACCCTCTGGGACAAGTAGAACTGGACCATAGAGTTCCCGAGGCTGTAAGTCTGCAAAGGAGCGAACTTTCTCCTGTGGACCAGTGGCTGGTGGGTTCAAACTGCTGACCTTTAGGGTAGCAGCCCAGTGCTTGCCCCACTGCACCACCAGGCTTCTTTCATGAATAAACCATTGAGTCGATTCAATTCATAGTGATCATGTAGGATCGTGTTTCTGAGACTGTCTCTATGGGAACAGACCACCTCATCTTTCTTTCAAGCAGCAACTAGTGGCTTTGAACCACTGATCTTGTAGTTTACAGCCCAACGCCTGACCCACAGTGCCACCAGGGTTTCTTTTTTATTTCTTAGCTACTTATTGTTGTTGTTAAGTGCCAGCGAGTCGATTTCAGCTCATAGTTTCTGAGGCTGTAAATCTTTGTGGGAACTGAGAGCCTCATCTTTCTCCTGCGGAGCCGCTAGTGGGCTCAAACCACTGACTTTGTGATTCTTTCTGTGTTCACGTCCAACTCTGCTACCTCAAAACACCCCATGCCGGAAGCTTCCTGAAGGTCCACACACATTGGTAGGGACCCCCCACTGAAGGAACCTGCACGCCTAGTCATCTGCCAGCACGCTGCCAAGACAGGCGTCCTTGAACACCACATCACTTTTAGCATCTAAAGCACAGTAGTAGACAACGTCTCACGTACTATCAGCTCACTTACGTAATTGCAGGGTTGCCTGATCTCTTGGAGCTGGCTCAGTCTCAGCTACACACTCCTGGCTTGTGAGGGGGGAAAAACTCTTCTGGCCCAAGAGTAAGTAGGAAACTGCTTCCAGCCTCCACACCCACGCAAGCTCCATTTTCATCTCCTCTTCC